CCAAACGTCCCCTGGCAAAATGCTGCTGGTTAAGGCCCTTGGCCAAGGGAATACGTGTGAAATGTTGGGATCCGATTTTATATCCAACCAGGCACATCTTGGTGATATTGAGCAACTCTAATCTCCCAGGCTGCACTTTCCACATATGTAAAATAGGTATGATGATGATGATTGCTCCAGCCTCAAAGAGTTGTGGTAAGAGTTAAAGTAATTCATTCACGCAAAGCAATCGGGAGATAGCTTACCTTAGGGGAAAGCATTCAATAGACATCTGACTTGGTTATTAGTCACAGTAACATAATGTTTCTTCTTTAAATATATGTGTTTGTTTAGCTTCATATCCCAGTGAGTCAATTTAAAGAAGATAATTTATAATAAATATTAGTTTAGGTAGTAGGAAGATCCGCTGAAACTTATGAAGATATTGTCGACTCAAGAAAAAAAAAATTACCTAAAAAGTGGAATTCAGGCATGTGGCCAGATCCTGGGTTTAACTTAGCTCTATCACTCACTAGACAGGTGACTCTGGGCCAGTTACTGAACTTCTTTGACCTCTAGTATTCACCCAGTGAAGAAAGATGATACCTCCTCAGAGAGGTGTAATCAAGCAAAATCAAGATAATATTCTTAGGGTTGCTTAACACAAAGTAGGTACTTGGTAAGCACCACTTCTCTCCCTGTCTTTGTTGTTAATAATGCTTAATGATTGCATTAATTATTTATTGTTGTGTAACAAATCACCCTCAAAATTAGTGGCTTAAAACAATGGTCATTCATTAGCTAACAACACCAAGCGTTGGAAATTTGGGCTGAGCTCAGCAGGATGATTCTTCTGCTGGTCTCAAGTGCGCGGTCATTTATATGGCAGCAGTCTGCTAGGACTTAGCAGGAACTGACTGATCCAACAAGGCCTCATTCACAGGTGCTGGCTGCCTGCTGAGCCTCTTACTCCATCTCTCTCCCATCCTCCACAGAAGCAGTGTCAACAAGGAGGCAGCCATGTTCCAGGAAAGCAGGAGCAAGTGTGCAAGGCCTCCTGAGGCCTAGGCTCAAAGTCACATCAGGGCACTTTGACCACATTTTAGTGATACCAGCAAGTTGCAAGTTCAGCTAGACTCACAGGATGGAGAAAGAAGCTGCCTTCTCAATCTCAGTGGAAGGAGTGGTAAAGTCACATTGCAAAGTAGCATGTGCCCAGGGAGGGGTGATTCACGGGGCCAGTTCTATCAGAGGCTCCCGCTTTGTCTGCTAGAGTAGTAGTGCACAGCATCTTCCTCACATATTTTTCCATAAACACTCATGGTGGATGCCATTCACATGACTAACATGTATGCATGGGGTATCCAGATGTTCATGAACCATCCCACCCCCACTGAATTGCATGAGAAGTACAAAATACCACAAAAATTCACAGTTACCACAGCTATTAATGGCACATAAGTTCAAGGTCACTCACTACATTTTACACTATGGGCAAGAGAAGCTGTGGAATCTGTAGCATTTTTCCACTCTGTTCTAAATCCATCTTCTCTCAAGAATAAATGAACAATGTGTGCTAGATAGTGTGAGCTTATTATGATGATTAACTTCAAGTCTGTTTTCCTTTAAAAAAAAAAGAAGCATTATGTCAAATGTTAATACTTCACTATTAGCAACAAATGGCATGATCAGACCTCAAAGCTGCTCAGAAAAAAAAAAGTAACAGCTCAGAAGAGACTTAGTGCATCTGGTGGGACTCATTATTCCACAGAAGTAAGTGATTCAAATTAGAAATTAGTTCCCATGTTCCTTTTTTTTCCAGTAGCCACTGTCCAAAAATAATATGTCAATATTTTCTTGTTATCTCTCCAAATTGATAATGATTTCTAGTGATTTTCCCCCTGCACATATTAGCTACCCCTTTCCTAAGTTTTACCCTAGACCTGATTTGGATTTCAAACATCAGATTTTTCAGGTCAGAATCAGAGCGCTCCCACTTGAATCCCAACAATCAGTGAACCCCTACAAAAGTGCTTACATCCCATTAGAGATTCCAGTCCCAGCCTCACACTCCACCACCCCACTTTCCCCAGTTTGGGTTCCATGGTTCATCTTTATAAGAACACCCCTCCCACCCTCCACTCCCTTCCCTCAGTGACTGCTGCTGTCCATCTCACCCCTGTTTAAGCTCATCTCTCTTCTTGCTTCATACCTGTACCTGAGCATTGCACGATGACTGCAGAAAAGTTCTCAGCCTCGGTTCCTGGCCTCACTTTAGATCTATGACTGCATGACTCAAGTGGGCCTCCAGGACCACTCGAAAAGCCAACCACAGACCCCAGGCAGAACCTCCTCCTCCTTATCCAGATGACAAGTGAGATCTTCCCCTCACTCCTCCAACAGATGACCTGGATTCTTGAATTTATTGAGAAAACAGAAGCAATGAGAAGAGCATTTTCTCTGACCTGTATCTCTACACAGAGACTTGGCCTCTTCTCCTCCATCATGACGGCGGCTCAGCTATCCCTGCTGCTTCATGAACTCACCCTCTCTCATCAACCCAAGGACTTTACTCCTACAATTTCTATTCTAATCATCCTCACTAGAACATGCCAGAAGACTTCCCATCTATAAATAAGGAAGCCCACTTGACCTCACCACTTCTCAACAGCGCTGACCATTTCCGTGCCAGGCCATCAGCAGGATTCAACGCTCTCCTCTTTAACTCCACGAAAACAACTCTGGTTAAACTCCCTGATGTTGTTCATCGGCCACCTCCCACATCGCAGGCTGCATTGTCCTTCAAGCTCAGTGTCACTTGGCCCACTAAGGTCATTTCTTGAGATCTCTCACCACCTTTAGCTGTCCAGTCATGACATGTTCCTGATCTCCCCCCCCTTACCACAGGTTGATACAACTCTTAGGTCTTTTCTCAATATTTAAGTTGTTTTACCCAAATATTTTGACCTTAGTCCTCTTCTCTTTCACATCTACAACCCATTCTCTAGTCCCTTAGCCATAACTCCTCTGTGTCAAGAACTTCCAAATTCACATTTTACACATCTAGATCTGATTTCTCCATGGAACTCTGGACTCCTATTTCCATCTTTACTCGGAGACCTCACAAGTATCTCAGGTGTTGGTGATGCAAAACAGAATTCATGATTTCCTGCCTTAAACTGGTTTATTGTCCTTTCAGTCAATATCATTTCCATGTACTCAGTGGCCCAATCCAAAAACTAAGAAGTTAGTCTTCTTTTACTTCACTCCATCCTTTTTATATCCAGTCTATTAGCAAGTTCTGCTGGATTTAACCTTAACAAATGTAAAAGTTTGTCTCTCATGACCAACTCTGGAGCCTCAATGAATTCCTAAGTCAGACCCCTGTAATATCCTTCTACTTCCAATCCTGCCTCTGAAGTAGATTCTTCACAGCCCAAGTGAGCCTGGTTAGAAACAAAAAACACACACCTGTGTGTGTGTGTGTGTGTGTGTGTGTGTGTAAGCATTGGATGATGCTATGTTTCTTTTTTTAGAATTTCAGTATTTTTGTATCTCACAGAGTACAATCCCGATTCTCCCCTTTAGTTTTCATGATCTTGCTACCACCACCTCCCTGGACTCGTCTCCCACACAGTACTCACTGCACACTGCCCTTTTGCTCATTTACACACCAAATTCCTTGTGTTTGCCTCTCTCTCTGCCTGTCACTCTCCCCACTCTGAAACTTTCTAATGACTCACTCACTCACTCACTTTGCTCCTTTCTTAATCCAAACATTATCTCTGCAGAGAAGTATCGTTGACTACCCTCCTAAGCCAATCTGTTGTTCACCATCCTCATTCCTCGCTTTGTTTTTCTTTAAGGACATTTCATTACCCCGAATTCCATCTTAAGTATATTTGTCTACACACTCACTGTCTCTGTTTCTCACTAGAAAATAATCCCCATGAAATCAAGGATCTTGTCTATCACGTTCACTGCTCACCACACATTGTACGCACCAAATATGTACTCGTTGAGTAATGACTGACATTATTGGTAAAAATAATATTAATGGGAATGTTCTTAGCACTCTGGCTTTTTTTTTTTTTTTTGCATTCCTATTAGATGTTATCATTGAGCCTCAATAAGAAGCACAGGGAAGGCATCCACTTGTGTGGACATTCCCATTTCATTTAATTTCTTTATCCACCATCTTTAACTCTTCCAGATTTAGAAGGTATTTAAATATATGAAGGGAAAGAACTATGTCATATCAAAATACATGCAAAATAAGTAGCTTGCTTTTCTAGTCTCCTAGCATTGCCTATAAGCTCTCATATCAGACACATCAGAATTTGGAAGAATTCATTGATGCCTTCTATTACACAGAGACACAAACACTATGTGTAAATAGTTTTAATTCCATTGAAATTAGTATTAAGGGCCACTAATTTAGTGTGCAACTCATCCCAGTGACTGACAGCTGGACAGTTGTCCAAAGCAAGATTTAAGTACGTTGATCTCTGGTTGCATAACTCAGAGAAGGATTTGGCGATGGAATTTTGGCAAGTTCCCCCATAAGATTACCCCTGACTTTCATATAGAGCTCTATGAGGTTGATCATTAATCATTCAAATAAGGCCAGTCTCTGGGGTCAGACAAAAGACAAATTAGAAATATGGAGAAAATTCTTCACCCCTAGGTGCTCTGTGACATTACTCTGTGACATGGGGGTCCTGTCACAGAGTGAGGACTCAGGGCCTGACTTGTAAGGTGCAGACACCTCCCTGACTCTCCCTCCCTGGCCCTCGGTGCAGACCACAGCACCTCCAGCCCCCATCAGGGCAGGAGATTTCTCCCTGGGAGAGGGACTGGTGCTTCCCACTGTCCAGGCAGAAGGCTGTGAATTCTTTCCTTCCAAGAAAATGGTGAAAGGGAACTGTCGGTCTTCCAACCAGTGATTTATTTTGTATCAGAAACACATTTACCTGGCCTATTTGGCGGAAGAGAAAAACCTCAGGTTCACTTAGTAAAACTCAATCTGAATATTTCTATCCTTTATTTCCATACAGATGAGCCTCACCGGGCCTTGAGTGTAAACACCGCAGATGGGCTCGCCGGTTCTACGGGGAAAGAGGCGGCAGCGAGGAAGGGGATCGTCGCTATTTTAAGTTTCTTCATGGTTCAGCAGGCAGCTGCTAAGAGTTCTAAAGGAGCAAACAAAACAAGAAGAGTTTATTGATTAGTTTACAAATAACTGTTGTATAAGAAAAGGTAGTGAATGGCGGGCTGGCTTACCGATGGCTTACGGCTTGCCTGCTCTCCTTTCTGTGGCCTGGGGAGACGGCCTCCAGGGGGAAATAAAAGGAGCAAAGCAAACGTGTCGTCTGATAAAGCGGAGTTTGCACCAGGTTCAAAAAGCAAAGAAGCAGGCCCCTTTATCTGTTGCTGATTTGGAGGTTCACCGACGCATCCCTACTCTCTGTCTCTTCGTGAAAAAAAAAAACATTTTATAAAATGTTTTTCTCCTCTGTCCAGCACAATAGCACTTTGGGCCTGGGACTCCGCAACCCAGGGAACGGGCATCGATAGGGTCCTCCAGGTGCAAGCTGTTTGTTGAGTGTTTTAGAAAAGCAGCAAAGGATTGCATCCTTGGGGCTCCTGGACTCCTGTCTGAAGGACTGTGACCTGGAGAAGGGAAGGCCATCTCAGATGAAGGAGTTGTCCCTAGAGGCAGCAAACAGGTGCCATTTGACTGGTGATCTCGCCCCCCTGAGGGGCAGCTTCCTCACTCTGCGCAGGCTCCTTGGGGAGAATTATTACAATGAGGCACACACAAGCCAGGACACGCGGTAGGCCGCGCTCACAATGGACCACATTGCAGTTCTCGTGAGACGTGGAGAGGGGTGAGGCAGGGCCTGGATGCAGGCCAGGCACATTGGGATGGACTTCTGAGCGCGGCCAGGGATCTGGTCTGGTGTCCCAGACTGTTGTATAAACTGACAAGTCAAAAACTGCACGATTTAAAGAAAACTGTAAGTGCATAATGGTCTAGGAGAAGAACCAATAGAGTAGAACCCTCTTGGGTAGCAAGAGCAAGACCAAAGCCCAGGGGAGACTATGTGACAATGGAGACTGAAGAACACAGTCCACATGAACAGGAAGACTAAAACGCTGTGTCCGATCCCTCCACCAAACCACCAACCCCGACCCATCACCAAGGAGCCTGGTACAGCCCAAGGAGGCATTTGGACATGAGCAGAAGTCACACTTGCAGTGGAGGAGTGGCCTTGTGCTGCAAGGATGGACAAGGGGTATTTGACCCCCTCTACATGGGAAGGTTCTAGCAGGAAAGCAGGGTTCTCAGGCTCAAAGCAGACCCCAGCTTTCAGGGATTACAGCACATTGCAGGCAAACCTTCAGTCATGTGGCACCGCTCGGCAGCCTGCAGTCAGGAAATGCAGAGGCCACTCTGGCACAAAGACCAAGGAGTTTCCTCTAGAAGAAGATCTCATGTTTAAAGATCTAGTGACTGGTGGTGGGGGGTGTAGCAAAGGATCACTTTGGTGTTGGAATGAAGCGCTCCCTGGAGCAAGATGTCAGAAAGCTCTGGGATCTCATTCCAATCTGATTCTACCACTTCCTATAGTCCCCTCTCTGCTGAGCCTCTTTTTATTTATCTGCACAATAGAGATTTTTAAAAAAAAAAAAAAATCCTACCTCAAAAGTTTGCTGTGAAAATTCAAGGTCATTTGCTTTTATTCAATAAGTATGTGTTGAATGCCTATCAAGTGCCAGGCACACTCTTGGGGAATGTTACCAAGACCACGTCCCTGCCTTCACAAGACTTATATTCTAGGGCCATGTTTAAAGGCTCCGTGTCAGAGGGAAAAGAAAGGTTGGGCACAGGGACAACAGAGCCAGGGCTGGTGAGGGCAGAGGCAGGCAGGACTCTGGGCTGGAAGAGCAAGGCAGGGCTTGACTTTCATTTGAGCAGTGAGCAACCATCAGAAGCTTCTCCACAAGGGAAATTCATACTCCGGTTTGTATTTTGGATGCTTGTACAGAAAGAAGTGTGGGGAGGACCAGAGTGGGCCAGGGGTACCAATAAGAACTGCACAGGACCTCAGACGGGAAATAGCCAGGGACTGGGGTGGGAACAATGCAAATCCTCAGGAAATGCTTCCTTAAAGAGCCAGAGAGTAAATATTCTGGGCAAAATTGAAGTCAAAAGGCAGCTTACATATTTATATGACGAATTCCAAACATTTTATCAAAAATAAAGAGAGAGACGGTAGGTAGGTAGGTAGGTATATAGATAGATAATGGTTTGCTGATCCCTGCCTAGGGGACACCAGCAGGAGAGGAGCTGGGCCTTTGTGAGACAGACATGGCTATACTTCTCCTGGTGGGCCGGAGCTTGGAAAGGGCTCTGTGCCTCCTGATTCATACGTGTGTTCAGAAGCCCCCTGCTTGGCTGAACCAGAAGACGAGCCAGGTTGGTGTATCAGGACATTGGTGTCTGGTTTTGCCCACTCTCTTCTAATTAGTTAGATTTTACCTAAAATAAATTTCTGGAGAGTATGTGAGAGGTAGGGTATGCTCCCTTTATAGTTTTGGTTGTAGGAACACAGACCTATTGACATTCAGGGAGACACGGAATTCCTCAATTGTGTTGGGATTGGGAATGCCAAACAATTTGTTCCTTGGACCTCCTGATGTGCACATTCTATGACCCAGAAGAACCCAGGCCGCTGACATTTATGGAAAAGATAAAAGGGAATGGGTACCAATTCTGTGGCCACCTGATTTAACCACTGTAAGGTCAAAGTACCTGTACCCACCACACAGAACTGTTGCCTGGTGAGGCCAGCAATGAGGAAATCAGTCAGTATTCCCCACACAGAAATACACAGTGCATGGGGATTGAAACAGCACAGGATACACACCCATACAAGTTTTCTTCTAAAGTTCACTGGGCTTATGTGCTAAAGTTGAATATTATTAATCTTTATTTGCTGATCACCATTTGCACGTACACATAAAAGAAAATACGATGTATGGATATAAACTACTAGCCAGAGTTGTCTGCCTTCAAATTTAATCTTACAGTTTAATACCTATCAGAGTATTCATATTATATATCACATATTGTTTATATATGTTATATATGTATACATATATATATTTATGTATGTATATGTGTGTATGTATGCATACATAGAGAGAGAAAGCGTGTGTACGTGTGGTACTAAGATTTGAATGCAGGGTGCTCTACCACTGAGCTACCCCTACCCTTTATAAAATTTTGAGAGAGTCTCACTATATTTCCCAGGAAGAACTTAAATTTGCAATCAGCCTCAGCCTCCTGCCTCAGCCTCCCAAATAGCTAGGAGTATAGGCATATGCCACCCACACTGATCTTACAGATGTAGACAGATACTTATAGGTACATATATATTGACTAAATTATATATATATTTACACACACATTTATGTATTTACACATTTATGTTATAAAAATAATGCTAACAAGGAAAGTTTAAAAACTTTATCTCAAAGGGGGAAAATCTTTACTGAATTCCAATAACCACTGGTAATAGAATTATGTTTCATTCAAGTCTTTGACAGTTTGATATTTTTTCAAAGTAAAGGCACCTTTTGTTGTTGTTAACACAGCTTTGACCCTAAAGTTTAAAAAGGAATCTTGCCTCTGCTTTAGAGTTTAACCCAGCACGTTATCAGTAGCATTTTCTATGGCTCCAAGGATTTCCAAATCTCCCACAGGGGCACAGCTAATAGTAATCACAAACCAAAGCACCAGGTTGAATTTATCAGGTGTTCTCAAAATTTCCCTATTACAAGTAATAATTCAGCAATGGTGGCCCTCTTCATAAATACACTGGTTATTCCAGAGTGTCGTGGGCACAAACCTAGAAGGTCCAGTGTCCCCAGTTTTTCCAGGGCCAGCCTGCCTCCAGAATGCTGCTGTCGCTCCCTGCCTGTTGGTGGAACTGTGGGTCTCAATCCCTGCCCAGTTCAGGAGCCTCAAATATTTACATCAGAGGAAGATGTCTGTTAACTCAATCAGTGTAAAAGCTTTATTTCCATTTTCTTTAAATAAATGCGCTCCCTCTATTAAATTGCTTTCTTATTTGACTCCACATTTTTTTTTTCATGCAGCATTTAGGAATGAGTTACTGCATTTCTCTACCTCCAGTGTTTGGGTGCTAATTCGTCTCCATCTCTTTGTTAAATTTACCTACAGTTTTTCCTTGGTCTTATAAATGGAATTTTTATGTCTGTTTCAAATTATAACCACATCAAGAGGGCCGCTGCTACTGCTGATAAAGAAGATACTGTCCACGGGCACAGAGATCCCAGGACGTGTCTGTAGACCGGTTTCCTTCCTGACACCCCCTCTCAGTCTGTGGGGACAGATTTGGGCTTGTGTGGCATTTGAATACTCTTGATCTGCCCTTATGTAATAAGAGTGACTCACGCGCCAGCGTGTCACCCAATCCCTCGCCTGGGGCATCTCTGCTGGCCTGTAAGCTTCCCACCTGCCCTGATCCAGTCTGAATAGAGATAACATGACTCAGCTCCAGGGAAAGGGTGGTTCTCTCCGTCTGGCTGGTGTCCTCCGCTCCAGGAAGCTCCGGGCTTGTGGCTGACAGCTGAGGGGAAGGCCACGCCACTCACATCAGTAGTGCCCCTCGGAGGGAGCCCCGGGCAGGAAGGAACAGCCCAGAGGCCAGCCAGACCCACCATCAGCTCCCGGTGTGGAAACCCCAGGGCACAGAGTCTGCCTAGAGCCTCAGCAGGTTGCTCTTTCTTTCTCACGGGCAATGGGAGGGACAGAGATAATAAGAGCTGCTGCTATGTGTTAAGCCCTTACCATTTGCCAAGCACATTGTGCAAAACACTTCACATCTGTGGCTCACGTTTGATCCTCACAATGAGGCCCAGGAGTAGCCTCCACCATCACGTCCATTTGACAGATGTGGAAACAAGGGCTCTTAGGCAGGAAGCCCTCGCAGCTAGGGAAAGCACAGACCCAGTCTCCCGGGCTTTTGTAACCAGAAGGCCAGTCTTCTCCATCTGTGGTGTGCATGGACCACCAGGTTCTTGTTAAAATGCAGACTCTGATTCAGCGGGTCTGAGGTGGGGCCTGAGGTCATGCATTTCTCATGTTTCCAGACGAGACAGATGCTACCGGTCCCCGGACCACATGTTGAGAATCAAGGCTCTGTAGCAACTGTTTTCACTGTGCCCTGGACTTCCCTCTAGTTGGGGAATATTGTCTTCTCTCATCCCTTCATTCCTCTGCCCATTCATTGCCCATTAGATGGACCTCTACCAAACCTCCACCCTGGGTCCACCCTGACTCCACTCTGAGAATATAGAGATGGATAAATCTCATCACGAACGTGGAGAAAATTGGCTCAACAAGGAGACAAGAATATCCTACCCTGCCCCCAACACACACACCACCATTACAAAAGGGCACAAGAAGCTCTCAAACCAAATGTTGTATGAAAGAAGTGGTGGTTTTGCCAGTGGATCAGGGAAAGCACCCCAAATGTTAGAGGAGGAAGCCCAGGGAAGACAAGGCAGGTGTCATGTGCTAGAAAGCTCCTGCCTCCAAAGGAAGGTGAGACGTCCTCAGATTCCCAGCCCAGCGTGAGCCGTGGGTCGAAGAGAGGCTGGAGGGACAGGCAAGGAATTCCTGGCTAGAAGCTCTCCCTCCACACTCCCTTCCTGGGCCACATTAGGCCTTTGTTTATCCCATCCCTTCCACCGAGACAGTTCCCACCCAAATCTCCAGGCCTGGGCGTCACCCACACCCCATCATGCTGCAGCCCTCAGGCCCACCTTCATGCCGAGTTCAGGCTCCCACCGTCCTTCATGAATATGGAAGAACTCTTTGTCACTTTCTTAGCTCTTAGTCTGCGCTGGACGCCTTAGGAAGCGCCGTGCCTATGATAAGTCATTCAACATTCCGGGCAACTGTGGAATACAGAGCATCATCGTCTGAATTGTTGAATGAGGAAACCACGGCACTGGGGAGGCCATCCAGCTCAACGCACAATGGCTGGATTAGAAGGCAGGCAGGTTCTTAAGCGCTGGGCGGTAAGGTCTCACGGCCACTAAGCCCATCTATCACCAGAAACTAATTCCCCCTCCTGGACACGGAGGGCTTGGCTAGGGCAGCGTTCCCAGCCAGGTTGTAAGCACCTTGCAGACCAGCCCCGGAAGAGAGGGAGTGAACTAGGACACGAGGTGGAGCTGGGAAAGGAGCAGAGAATCACAAGTTTTCTCTGATGTATTTGGGGCCCTTCCAAGAAGGGGCCTAATAGATTCGCTAGTGCAGCCCCGAGAGGTGCTAAAGGACCTATCATCAAGTTGTCCCCGAGACAGAGACCATCCGAGCTGATGCTGAAGGCGAAGGTGGCCTCCCGTTGCCAGCCCACACAGCAGACTCCAAGTGCACTCCAGGCCCAGGGCAGGTCCAGTCTCCTGACCAGAGGGCCAGTGCCAAACAAAGACACCCAAAGCCATGGGTCATTTGTTCCACCCCCAAGACAGCAGAGCCTCTCCCCAGGCCCAGAGGAACCACTGCTGAGATGGTCCTGCTCAGCCCAAGGCCTCCAGTGACATTGCTGTTTGCCCTCAGACAATCCACCCTAGTTCATGTTCCTCAAAGCGTGGCCCCTGGGAACTTATTAAAAAACAAAGTCTTGGGCCCTGCCAACCACTGTATTGGGAACGCTGAGGGTGGAGCTCGGCCACACGGGTTTTAACAGGCCCTCTGGGGGACTTGGATGCACGTGCAAGGAGAGAACCACTCTCCCGTTCAGGGCAAGTCTGGTGTCAGACACCTGAGGTTCGGCCCCGGTTTAGTCAGAGGTAACTCACTCAGCTTGCCTGCAGCCACGCCGAGTTGCTCAGCCTCAGTCCCCCCACCTGTGAAAGGGACGACGAATATATATCAATAATCACAGCACGGCTGCGCTGTGGGGAGTCACTCCAGTAACTCGGTAAGTCACCTAGCAGCCTGCACGGGCCACTGGGTGAAGGCTGGTCCTGGTGTTGATGGCGTGGTTCCAGAACATGGTGGAAAGCCTTATTGCTTTTTTGTACCTCTATGGAAAGTGGTGGTTTAGAAAGTTCCTCAGGGGGCTCTGTTGTCCCTCCAGTGGCTTATGAGCTCCCATTTAAACTCTTTTGAGCATTGTCACCGAACAAGAAAGAGGACAATGAGGGCTGATTTTGTCAAAGGATATTAGGCAGGAAATGACAGCACGCAGACCGATGGCACTTACAAGGAACCCCAGAGAGCTGGGCAGGACCCCGGGCTGGGAGGGGCAGGCAGGGGTTTGTACAAAGGCCTGGGAGCTCTTTCTGATTTTTATTCTATAGCAAGTCAGTGTAATTTTTTCATAGTTGTGATTTTTCATGCCTAATTTTTTCATTTTTTATTTTGGGCATACTGAATCACCTTGAGTAACGAACCCCTTGCAGGATTATTTTAGAGCAGATTTTGAGTTTTCAGGATTCCATCTCTAAACACTTTTGGGTGGAGGCCTAATAGATAAGGAGTTTACATCTGGAACATAACCACTCCCTGTTGCTTTATACTTTCATGAAACACTGATTTTTCTGGGCAAAAGGCGGGAGGGTCCTTATTGGAAACAGAGCGTCTGGAGGAAGGGACAGTGGCAGGAAGGAAGGTGTGATGAGACCTGGAGGAGGGGCCCTCGGAGGCAGGACCCAGGAAGCTTCCCTGGCGTCCGCTTGGCCCTGACCAGTCCTCCTATGCAAGGGTTTGTGGGCTCACAGTCCAGAGCAGTGGGGGGCTGCGCTTGGAGCAGTAGCCGAGAAGCCTGCAGCAAGCAGACCCCTCCCGGAGGACGACCAGAGCCCAAACACCACCGCGAAGAGCCTCAAAGCAGCCGAAACAACAAGGCCCCCAGCCCCGGGGAGAAGAGAAACACCTGCCCTGCCGTGGCCTCCTAGGCGAGCGTTTTCCTTTGGGGCAGTTACCAATTTGCAAGAATCCTGGGCAGACAGCAGGAAGCCAAGCAGTGGTCCACGGGCAGAAGCCAAAAGGCTGGCTGGTGCTGGGACAGGCTTAGGGCGCGAGGAGGAGAAAGTCAAGGGTGGACTTCTGAGTAGGCCAGGCTGGAGGGGCTCAGGCCTTGTGAACAGAGATGGAAAGGCCTGAAGCTCTGAGATCCTGAGCCCCAGCCCGCCTGTGCCAATAGTTCTGAGGCATGGGAACCGGAAGCAAGCTGCCGTGACATGCAGGGACAGAGGCAGAGAGAGCCAGGACTGCAGAGTGGACGCACTGGGACTTATGATCAGAAGTGTGTTTCAGAGCCACAACAGGTGGGTCCACACAACCCAAGGGAGAGGAAGGGCTTATATATTAAGAAAGACACAGGTGTGCTGTGGCCAATTAGAATGTACCTGAGTTTTCCCCAAAACTACTCCCATATGCAATATCTGCTAAGAACCACTCTGGACAACTGTGGCCTCGCACCATATGTGTGTGTGTGTGTGTGAGAGAGGGGGGGGGGATGACAATCCGTGGGGTAGGGGACATTGGGGATTGCACCCAGGGCTTTGCAGCACTCCACCACTGAGCTACACCCCAGCCTTTTTCCTATTTTGATTCAGGGTTTTGCTAAGTTTCCCAGGCTGCCTCGAACTCGTGATCCTTCTGCCTTAGTCTCCTGAGTAGCTGGGTTTACAGGCATCTGCCACAGTTGTGCCAGATGCTTACCTGACTTTGTTTGTCCTGTAGGGTTTTTGATGCATGGCAGGGTCACCTCGTGGGCAAAATGGTGCTCACAACCACGATGGTCGTAGTGATGCCAAGCTGGGTCCCTGCACCAGTCCAAAAACTACACAGACCAAGAAGAAAGAACAGTCTGTAGGCCAAAGAGGCAAATAGAGCTTTAGGTGTCTCATGGTCCTAGGGAGATAAAATGTGGAGTTTCACTTCCAACAGAGAGGCCAAGCAGAGGAAAACTCATCAGGATGCTGAAAGAACAAACAACACTCTTGATTTAAGGTAAAGGGGGAACACATGGAATCTTCTGGAAGCTGAGTTCCAGCTGGAAAGAGCAGCTCAGTCCTGCCCCAACTGCCTGCCAGGGGCTGAGGGCTCATGCACACCTTCAGATACTGTTTGAATACAAAGTCTGTTTCTAGCACTCAGTAAAAAGTCACCAGGGCTAATAAGAGTCGGGACAAAACAATATACAACAACAATAACAACAACAACAACAAAAAAAAAAACTGAAAGAAGGAAAAGACACAGGAGGCAAACCCTGAAATTATCAGACACAGATATTAACATAATCATGACAGGAAAGAAAGTTTTGCAAAAGAACTGAAATATATATAATTAAAATGGAAATTCAAGGACTAAAAATTATAATTGCTGAAACCAAGAACTTGGCTGATGAGTTTAACAGCAGTTTAGACACAAAGAATTGGGGGCAGCTGGGAGAACTGGAAGTTATCAGAAAATCTACTGAAGCAGATGGAGAATAAGAGATTAAAACACATAAATGAGAGCAAACAACACGTAAGGCACAGGACATAGGTCTAATATGTGCATAACCAAGACAAACAGGGAGATGAGAAGGAGAAAGGCTTAGAAGAAAGAGAAAAGCTTAGAACAAAAGCTAAGCATTTGCCAAAGTTGATGAAAGACTTTAAAACCACATTTACAAAAAACAAAACAAACAAAAACCCGAGCAGTATATCATAGTAAGTCTGCTAAAAGCCAATAATAAAGAAACTTCAACAAAATACTCACAGATAAAATCTAGCCTCATGTTAAAAGAATTACACACTGTGATCAGGTGTGATCTATCCCAGGAAGACAAGGTTAGCTCAATATACAAATACCAATGAATGCAACATGCCATATTAATAGAATGAAGAAAAAACAAAAACAAAAAATCTTCTCAACTGAAACACAAAAGGCATCTGGCAAAATTCAATACCTGTTCAGGGAAAATTTGTAAGAAACTGTTCAATAAATTAAGAAAAGAAACGGACATCCTCAACCTAATAAAGTGTATCCAAAAAAACCTCATAGCTACCATCATACATACAGACTGAAAGTTTTTTCCTCTAAGATCAAGAATAAGACAAGGATATCTGCTTTCTCCATTTCTATTAAACATTGTATTAGAATTAGCTAACACATTATATATTAGCTCATATATATAATGTAATTACATGTCAGTAATTACAATAAATATAAATGGCCTAAGTATCCAAATTAAAATACAAAGATTATCAAACTGGAAAAATATTTTATAGGGCTACCAAGAGATGTATCTATAATATGAGACTGAAAATAAAAAAAGATGTAAGGATATTAATTCACCTCAAATTGATTTGTAGATTCAATAAATTCCAATCAAAATATCAATAGATATTTGTAGAAATCGAACAACTCTATAATTTATATGAAATGCAAAAGACCCAGTTAGCCTAATGAAGCATAATAGAAAGTAAAGAAACTGATTCATATATATGTAATCACTTGATTTAAATGATATATAAATGATACTGAAATGCAGTGGGGAAATGTTTTGTTCAATATATTGATTTGTTCAACATATGGAGCTTGATCAATTAATTGAAAAACTGGCTTAACTCCAATGTTTGCTATACAGAAATATCAGTTCCTTGTGGATTGACAACAATATGTAAAAATTAAAATAGTCAAGTTTCTAACATATAATGAAAGTGCATTTTATGACTTTAATATAGGATAATAAACTGGACAAAAACATCATGAATCTTAGGAAATATTATTGACAAATTGGCCCTCATTTAAAAAAAAAAAAGAATGTCTGTTCATGCAAAGATACCATTGAGCTAGTGAAAAGTCACAAAGTGACTTATAACATGATATATAGAGATATTGTCCTTCTTGTGACTATCTATTTTGGACCTGGGTTGTGGGTCTTATTAGATTCTTTGAGTTTAAAGTCTATGTGACATGCACTTCTGATTTGTGCTCTTCTCTGAGTGTTTGTTATACGTCAATAAAACATTTCTGAAGTCCACTATAAATTATTATAAAAAAAATCACTGTAGTTCCAAGATGTCCATTTTGTAACTGACATGTAAATATATTTAAACAAAATTATTTCTCATAAATATTCCAACCCCAAAAACATTGAATAAAATCTAAAATTTGATTTAAAAAAATCTGAAAATGGGTTGAATGGATCTCAGGAGCCAGCAATATGTACCTGGTAAACTTGCATCAAGTAAAAAGGTGTGGAGATAGGCTCTGATGTGTCCACGACACAGGTCCAGTGATTTTCCATGGATCTTCCTGAAATTCTGCTCCTGTCCCATAGATAGAAGATGATATGATCTCTCTGGTCCTGATGGGGCCCATGCAAAGGCTCTTGTGGGTTCCTATGGTCAGAAGCAATGTGCTCCAAGAGTCCCTGAGCCTAGATGTGACCATCATCCTTGAAAGTCCCGGAGTCTCGCAGCTCCCCTGCCCTCTTGCTAAGGGACTCACAGTTTGGAAATGGAAGCCCCAGGTACAAGCTGGAGACAGGGACAAGAGTATTCACAGCATAAACAAATGGTGACATGAAATTCTATTCACTCTCCACAAATTTGAAGCTGGGGGTAGCAGAGGTTCCCAAGGCAATGACCACATGGACAGAGTGAGGGAAGAAGAAACACTCATGCACAGAGACCCTGGTGTTGCAGAGACGGTGCTGGAGAATAACCTTGAAGAATGGGAATCACAAGCAGCCAGAACCGCTCCCGAGGGGAAGCCTGACTGGGGAGGTACCAGGTGGGTCAGTACCTGCACCTTCTGACTTCTCAATTTACCCTCCCTAAGGCAACAACGTCATCATACCTACCCAGATGAAAAGACAGACGTGCTTGATGGACTGCATCCACGTCCCCTGATGACCCCATGCTTGCCGGAGCCAGAGAACAGAAAAGAAATGGCCGTGTTTGTGGACTATGCCAATCCCAATAAGATTTCTAGGGACGAACACCTTGAAATGTCAGGAGGGGCTTTGGTACCACTCTAGAACAAGGTTTGTCAACCTCAGCTCTGCAGAATTTTGGAGCCAGGTAAGTCTTGGTTGGGTGGTTGCCCTGTGCATTGGGGGTGTTTAGTACCATCCCTAATTCTACCTGCTAAATGACAGTGCGCCCCCATCCCCTGCCCCCTAACTGTGACAACCAAACAGCACCCAGAAGGCAAAAATCCACCCTAGTCAAACACGACTGCTCTACAGGAAGGCCAAAGACTGAGCCGGTGGATAGGAACCGTGGCTTGGGGTTGCAGGGAAATCAGGATTCACGAAACACAAGAAATCACTGATTTGCTGTCAGCTGGGAAGTTGCACAAAGAAGACAGTTTGGAAGGTCTGCAGCAAAGAAATCGTGTTGAAAGGAAGATGTGGGTTTAGCACAACCCTGGGGAGAGAAATCTCCAAAGCTGCTCCCTGTGTTCTAGTTGGCAGTGTAGTGTTTGCAGAGCTGACAGGAGGCCTGGGATTTACGCACAAAGTTTCTCAATTTCCAAAAGGACTGAGAGAAAACCTTCATCTCTTACTGGTACACGTGGAAATAAAAGCAAACGGGGAAAGGAGACAGGTATCAGTCGTAGAAGCCAGCACCCATTCTCTCTCTCTCTCCCCCGTTCTTTTTCTTTGTGGCACTGGAGATTGAACCCAAGGGTGCTTTATCACTGAGCCACATCCCCATAATTTCTTATTTCTTGGAG